GTTAGTCCCAGCCCAAAGTTCTCTGATCCAATCCACACCCAGGTTCAGCTTAACCTGGTGGCAACACTCTCCTCACTCAGTTCCCTCCTGACTACCTGCAGCTGTGATGAACCCATCTCCTGGCCTGACTCATCCCCTAAAGCCAAAATCTCCACTCAGCAAAGAAACCCAGCTCTAAGCTAGGTCCACTCTCAGAATCACCCAGGCAAGAAAAATGCAAACCTCTCTGGGCAGCTTCCTTCTGAAGGTGAGACACGAACTTCAGAATGAGCCACTGAAGAAGGGGGAGGGGTCCTTCCAGTGCCTTGCACCCTCAAATAGCAACTGACTCCACCTTTGGCCTTACCCTTGCAGGCAAGGTAACTGCCTATATTTTAATAAAAATTTTAGGAGCCTGCTAGGTAAAGAGATACTGCAGGCTACATGTGGATGGGGAGGGACATGGTCCCACAAACCAGGGACCCCAAAGCTTCCTAGAAGCAAGAGCTACACAATCCCTGTTAACAAGAGCCATCATTCACCTGCTAGGTTCTGAGCTAAGCACTTTTCACATATCAACTCATCTAACCTTAGGAGTCAGAGACTATCATTACCTTTGTTTTGCAGATGAGGAAACTGAGGCTCAGAGAAGTAAATGACTTGACAAAAGTCGCACTAACGGGAAGAGGCAGAGCCAGGATAGGAACATGGACTTCAAAGTCCTAGTGTTTACCAAGTATGCTCTCTTCCCCATACATCTGAAAGCTTTCAGAATCAGAGACACAACTCATTCCCCAGGAGTCCTCCACTGTCTAGGGCACAGAATCCACAGCACCGGTTAAAAATCCATCAGGCTTTTTTGGGATGAAGGAAACAGATGGGGTAACAGAGGTGGGAGGAGAAATACAAAAAATTCCCAAAGTCAGATTCCAGCCCAGGTCCTACACTAAAAATGGCAAACCTTAGGCAAATCTCATCGGACTTCAACTCCACTCCCCCTCTACTGTGGGGCTAAGACACTTGCTTTGCACACTCTACACAGCATCACTGTCAAAGAGAAAAATGTACATCAATTTTGACCAGTATTGATCAAGGTAGCGGCAAGTTCACATGAAGATAGACGGAATACTAGACTGGTCTGGGAAGTCAGTCTCCATGCAGCATGTGGGATTTGAGATCCCCTCCCCCCTTAAATAATGGAGGGTATTAACCAACAGAGCTTGAGTGGGGGTTAAAGAAGAAATGATGTGAGCACAGGCATAGAGGCCAGAAAGCAAAAGCACATTTTTAAACAGTGAGCTTCCAAGCGTAGCCAGAATGAGGTGGGTGAGGAGATGAAGGTGATGGCAGGTACAGCTGCTGAGCTGTGCAGAGCTTCGAAAGCTTGCTGAGAAGTTTCCACTGTTCTGGGTAAACGAAGGGTGACATCAGGTGTACGGGGAAAAAGGAAGGCTCTGGGATCAAGGCCAGGCCTCAGAATGAACCTGCACAGTGAGTGTGGGGAGAGACCACAGGGAGAAGTGGTCACAACAGTCTCACACTCAGGCGGTCAGAGCAGGCACGGGACACAAACCGGAGGACTGAGAATGTGGAGCTGCCTGAACTCGGCAAGTGAGGGGCACCCCCAGTGGTGGGAAGATCACCGGAGATGACCAAGGTTTGGGGCCTGAGAGGAGAAAGAGGAGAGCAGTTCACTAGTTGCAGTAAGAGTCGAGAGGAAGAGCTGATTTGAGGGAAAAGCTGTTAAAGTATAGCTCAGGACAGACAAGAAAGAGACAAAGAACTGGAAAGTGATAAGGTCGTGGAAGGTGAGGCTGGAGAAAATGACAGAGTGGAGCGAAGAGCCGCTATGTCGGTGAAAGCACATTTTCAGTTAGGTGGCCACCAAAACAAGATGTAATTATCTCTGTCATTAACAGCTGCAGAGGCCACGAGGCCTCGTGCTGGGGAGGCTGATGCCCACCACGCATCCGTTCCAGCTGGGAGGAGGGCGCAGGCGCTTCCACTTGTTGCAAACAACACCAGGGTCCTCCAGGCCACGCGGGGTCCCGCCCCGCTGGTCGCGCTGCTGCCTGGGTCTGACGAGGCTTAATTATTCACCTGCTAGTTACGGGTCGCGGCTCCGCGGCCCCAGCTCCATCCTCCGCCAAGCGACAGCAGCATCCGGAGGAGGCTGGGCGTCCCGCCTTCCTTCCTACTCCCCCGCTCCTCGGCACGCCAAGACCCCATCCCAGCGCACTGACCCGCTCGCGCGCAGCACTCCGCGACGCCTGCAGCGCTCCTCCCGCCCAGAACCCCGCTCCTCCGCCTCTCAGGAAACTTTGTTTCCGCCCCCCACTGCCTTGTACCTCCTGGTAGGATGTGGAGAGCTCCTGCCGGATCATGGCACTGACAAGAGATAAGGCACCCCTATGCCCGTTACGCCCGGGAGGAGCAGCAATGAGAGGACCGCGGCCGCAGCGCGCGGACCTCCGGCTCCGCCAGGCGTAACCGGTCCGGGGAGCAGCCCCGAGACCAGGCGTGGCGGCACTCGGCGCATGCGCCTCGCTCCACCCCCGCCCGAGCCGCGAAAGGGCTCCTGGGAAATGTAGTTCCAGGCGGAAGGCATCTCTTAGCACCGAAGCGGGGAAGCCAGCACTCTGTCCCAAACCAGGCTTAATCCTGGAATTAGACTCATGCGCTCTCCTTCGCCTTCACTTCCTCCCTTTGTGGAAGGGGGAAGGACGGAGAAAATGAGTGGAAAGTGGAACCAGGGACCCGGTCAGATGTGTAGGAAGCCTAATCTATAATTGCAAGAGGAAGCTTAGTCTGGTGGTTTATAACTGCAATAAATGGCTGGAGAACACTGTTAATTAAAAGCGCTTTCGCGCACACTATGTCCTTGATCCTGCAAGGACCCCTGTAAGGGGGACATTTTTCTCCCTATTTTACAGATGAAGAAACTGAGGTACCTTGTTTCTTGTTTCAGAAAGGATAGGGGGGCAGTGATCTAGTGAAGACTATTTAATCCAAGAACGGACTACAAAATCCTAATTCCATTATTTCTGAGGAGTCAGGACCTCTAGGTTCTTGTCCTGGCTCTGCCTCTCTCACAGGTCTTGGAATGCTCTGAAACCTCCTCTCTTAGTCTTAGAATGCAACTGCTAACCCCGCCCTGCTTCACAGAGCTTTATAGGAGCTGAAATAGATTAGGCGGCAAAAACCCAAGGGTTTTCTGCTGTTCATCACAGCAGCAGCCTTGCGCACTGAGTGTGGTGGAGAATTGAGTGGTTGCCCTGTGGCAGGGTGGACCTGAGGGCTACGTCTTCCCCTCCTCCCACTGCCTGAACAGCTGTTCTGTGTGGCCACTCTGGGCTGCTGAGCGGTGAAGCAGATAGAAGTTGCTTATGCCTTGGTGAATGCTGCTCTGTGTCCCTGGCAGCTGCAGCTCTGCCACCCACTGCAGTCAGGCCACTCAGGGCCTCTTCCCTCCTCAGTGGGAAGCAGAGTAGCACCAACCAGCACATCCTGGACCTCCTGGAGAGTTAGCAGTGAAAGGCCTCCATCACCTCTCCTGACCACCCTCCCCAACCCCAGGCTCTGCTCCAACATTTATTAAATGAGACAATATATATAGCACTTAACACATTGTAGGCACTAAACAAACGTTTGTTAAATTTATTAATGGAACACTTATTACAGCCATTACATTTAACCCTTGCTTGCCAAAACAAATGAACAACAAAACTCATTAATTTCCTTACTGTATTAATACGAAGAGTGGTTTATAGAACAAGTCGCACGTAGAGTTTTAGAGATGGAAGGAACCAGAGGAATCTAGTCCAGCCCTATCATTCCTGTCTACTCTTTGCCGATATGAGCAAACTGGAAAATTATGGGTTCCAATATTTGAAGGAGATACTAACGGATACAACATTCAATATGTTTTAACAAACACAACATACTGGACACTGAGATATCAAAATGAATAGGACACTTCAAGGTCCTTGCTCTTGTGGCTCTTCCATGCTAGAGTGGAGAGACAGATCATGAACACATAATAGTTTTCTGTATTCGCTGACCCCAGGTCCTTTCTTCCCATTCTTTCAAGCACACACCAATTAGGCTTTCATTTCATCCACTCCACTGACATGGTGCTTGTCAACAGTGCAAATGACCTCCAAGTTGTCAAAGTAGATGGCCATCTCCCTCTCCTCCTCTTTCTTCACCAATCAGCTGCACTGGACTCAGCCGATCATCCCCTTTCCTTGTACACTTTCCTTCCCTGGCTTCCAGCACCACGCACACTCCCATGCTGCCTCCCACCTCACTCACTGATCCTTCTTAGTCTCCTTCACTGTTTTCTCCTCAGTGACTCAACTCTATGGGGTAGGAACCCCCAAGCTAGATCTTTAATCCCCTTTCTACTCAATCCCTAGGGGCTAGTGGTCTTCTCTAGTCTCATGGCTTGAATTGCCATCTATACCCTAAAGATTCTTGTTATGGACTGAATGGTGCCCCCCCCCCAAAAAAAAATGATATGTTGAAGTCCTAACCCATGGTACCTCAGAATGTGATCTTATTTGGAAATAGGATCGTTGTGGAAGTAATTAGTTAAGATGAGGTCATACAAAGTAAGGTTATCCCTTCATCTATGATGACTCGTGTCATTAGAAAAAGATGGAAGATGATGCAAAGATAGACACACAAGGAGAACGCCCTGTGATGACAGAAGCAGAGATTGCAATGATACAGCTGTAAGCCAAGATGGCTTTAGTCACATGCTGGTTATAGGTCATGGCTAAGAAGGCCAGGCTCCATTCTTGGCCAAGCAACGGACAGCATCCCCAGGCTCACTGGCCACCACCAGAAGCTAGGAAGAGGCAAAGAAGCATTCTATCCAGACTCTTGGAGAAAGCATGACGCTGCTGACACCTTGATTTCAGACTTCTAGCTTCCAGAACTGTGAGAGAATAAACTTGTTATTTGAAGCAATCTAGTTTGTGGTACTTTGGTATGGCAGCCTAGGAAAGGAACACAATTCCCAAGTGCATACAAATGAATAAACTCCAATCTTCAGGTCTCCTGAGCCCGGGCTCACACATCCAACTGCCTAGGCGATTCCTCCACTGGATGTCCACCTGGCAGCAGGAGAGAGTAGCTACTAAAAACATAAACCTTACAGTCAAACTGCTTGGTTCTAAGTCTTGGCTCTGCCACTTACGCAGTTTGTGGTCTTGGGAACTTTATTTAATCTCTCTGTGCCTCAGTTACCTCATGTGTAAAATGGGAATATTATTACCTATTCATAGAGTTCTGAGAGAATTAATTGAGTCATTAGATATAAATTATGTGGAACAACATCTGTTACATTGTAAATGGTATATTAGTGTCAGTGGTTATTGCAAGGTTCAAAACGGAACTATTGGTCTTCCCATACCGAATCCGCTCCCTTCCCAGTCTTTCTCACTGTAATAAACTCCACCCTCCCAACTCCTCTGGCCAAAACTCTGCAGTCATCCTCTGTTTCTCATTTGCCTGTATAACCCACATCTAAATCAGCAAATCCTGCTGGTTCTACTTTAAACATTTCTCATGGACCATTTTCAGTAGCCTCCAAGCTGGTCTTCACTTCCCCCCTTGCCACGTTGTGGTCTATTCCAACACAGCAGCCAGGGAGAGCCTACTAAACAAAGTCAGATCATGTCATTCCTCTGCTCCAACCCCACCAAAGCCAAAGTCCTCACAGTGGCCCACATGGCCCTATAGGATCTGTCCCGCAGCCCCTACCTTTCCTATTACTCCTCCCCTCATTCTCTCAGCTTCTCTCTGAGCCTAAGAGCCTTTGCACTGGCTGTTCCCTGTCCCCAGAATGCTCTTAATCTGGATATCTATTACCACTCACTTCTTCACAATCTTCAGGTCTTTCTCCAAATATCCCCGTATCAGTGATGCCTTCTCTGAGCACCCCGTTAAAACAGCAAACCTCATTGCCAGCACATCCCCCTACCCCGCTTTGTTTTTCTCCTTTAGCATGTACCACCTTCTGACTTTCATTTATTTTCAGTCTTCCTCTCCACGAAGGCAGAGTTCTTATGTGTCTTATTCATTGCCGTATCCCAGTGCCTGACATTTATTGGCACTCAAATAGTCACTGAACAAATAAACAAAATAATTTCACATAATGACAGAGCTCTAGAAAAAATTTAAAAGGATATGTGACAGAGTGATCAGATAGCTGTGGGGAGAAATGCCGATTTATCTTGTGGGAGTCAAGAGATGGTAGTGACATGACATGTGAGTTGAGATCTGAATGACAAGAAGGGGCCAGCACATAACCACTTGCACCCCAGGCAGAGGGCACCAGTACAGTACAAAGGCCCAGGCTGGAACCCAAGCAGAAGGCACTGTGGCTGCAGGGGATGGACAGAGAGGCACATAGGAGACCATCAGAGGACTAGGCAGAGGGCAGATTGTGGAGGCTACATCGTGCTGGTCCTGGGCTTGTTTGCTCTCAGATCCAATCCTAACCTCTCAGCTCTGGGTTTCTGGGACTGGCCCTGGGGCTAGGTTTCCATTGGGCTCAGTCAAGAGGAAGCACTGCTGGGGCAGTGGAGGGGGGCAGGGCAAGGAAGAAGCCAGGGTTTTTCTTTTCTTCGCTTTCTGCCCTGGCAGCTTCCCTTCCACAGCTCCAGCTCCTGCTGCAAAGGTTTCTTTGTGGTTCTAGCTTCAGCCAGGTTGCCCAGCCCCCCAGACTCTAATAACACCACCTCCTCCCTTCCAGTGGCAGGATGTCCCAATCTTCCCGCTGTTGTTAATCTCCGGTTGCTTCTCAGCCTTTTCCATCACCCATGCAAATAACTCCCTGTATCACAGCCATTGTGTCTTAAATTAGAATAGTTTCTATTTTCCTTGTAGTTGACTGATCGATTCTTTTGGAAAAACGAATCTGGGTTCAAGTAAAGAAAGGCAATCAGGGATGCCTGGAGAAATCCAAGATCATATGAACATGCTATTAAAGTATAGATTTGGAGTCAGCATCTCCAAAGCTAGATCTGATCAGTAGAAATTAAAGGGAGCATCTTTTGGCTCAAAGGAGTTCCTAACAAATAGAACTGTAGAGAAAGAAAGGGCTCAGGCAGAGAAGTCCCAGGGATGTTATTAGGGAACATGATACATGAGGAAGGGGATGATGTTCTATTCAAGGGTTTAGAAGGGCCTCTTCTATCCTAAAGATCTTGTGACACACTGTGTAAGATGCTGTATGTCGCAGCTTACACAGTCTTTCACATCCATTATCATTTTTAGTTTCAACACAATCCTATCAACAGGCAGGCCACTCTGTTACTAATATTGAAATTGAGCTTCAGAGAGTTTGTGGACAGACCTGTTTAGGGGACTCTGAACAAGAAGCTCATTCTGTTGAATAAGTAAATGTATAAAAACTTGGTGCGGTCACTGAGGGGGTGTCACCTGGTGGTTAGGAGCAGGTAAGAACACAGGGCCCTGTCACCTACCGTGTGACCTTGAGGAAAGTACTTAAGGT